TACTTCAGGTTTAAATGAGAGAGGTACATTATCACTCACCATGGCACCTGGCACAGGGTAGTTGCTCAGTAAATTCTAGTTTCTTTTCTCTCCAAGTTTCTAGCCTCATCTCCAACCCAATGTTCTAGCCACATCAAATTCTTTATCAGTCCCACACAGATCCTGAGGTTTTATTTATTTATGTATTTATTTATGTATTTAGAGACAGGGCTAGAGTGCCGTGGCGTCATCATAGCTCACTGCAACCTCAAATTCCTAGGTTCAGATGATTCTCTTGCCTCAGCCTCCTGAGTATGCTGGGACCGCAGGTGTGCGCCACCGCGCCCGGCTCATTTTTCTATTTTTTGCAGAGATGGGGGGATCTCGCTCTTGCTCAGGCTGGTCACTAACTCCTGGCCTCAAGCGATCCTCCTGCCTCAGCCTATCAAAGTGCTAGGATTATAGGCATGAGCCACTGCACCTGGCCTGATCCTGAACTTTTTATATGTTGGTTCCTCACCTCTTATTTGCTCTTTGCCTGGAATGCCTTGCCTTGGAATGCATTCCCTTGGAATGCCTGGGGAACTCTTCCTCATCCTTCAAAACAGAGTCGCCTCTTCTGTGAACCCTCCGAACTCCCTGCCACTTTGGCTCTCTGCTTCCACAGCACCCTGTATATGTCTGTTATAGCGCTTGTAATTCTGCTATAATTCTTTTGTTTTCTGTTATAATTATTTATTTCTACATTTACCTCTCTCTTAGGCTGTGACCCTTAAGGGGCAAGAACCAAATCTTATTTGTATTCGTACAGTGTTTGGAAAGGGTCTGGAGGAGGCTGGGAAGCTGACATGAAAATCTCAGGCAGAGGGATTAGATTTGCAAAAAGAGCTACTTCTTCCTTTGAAACAAAAGGGGAGGAACTGAAGAGGGAAGACAGTAAGAATGTAGCAAGAACCTTTAAAGCAACAGGGAAAGGCCAATCTTAAGGGGAAATCTAACTCGAGGGAGGAAAAGAGCACAAGAGGAAGTTGCCACCCAAAGAGATGAAGAGGGTAAAAGAGGGGTGGCACTGGTGTGGTCTGAGGGACTGATCCTTTTCCTTCCTAGATGTGTGCTGTCTTGGGATGGACTCAGCGCACCTGGGCTGGCAAGGAGGGTTCTTGGGCCCACAGGAAGAAACAGCTTTGTTTCCACTTGGAACTAGGTTGAATGGCCTTGGTCATATCTGTGTCTTTCAGTCCAGCAAGGAGAAGCTGGAGCCAGCAGCTGAGGGAAGTGGGAAGGTCTGCAGTGTTGCGGGTGAGGAGTGATGAGGGCCGGTGGTCGTACATTGCCACGGAGAGCTGTCTGGGTAGAGGCACTTTGAGAAGGATGGCAGGGAATTTTGGCAGCGGTGCGATCCTCAGAAAGTATGGCCAGAGTAGCAGAGCAAAAGCAGCTGGAGAGGAAACATTGGTACCTGTGGCTGCACTGCCATTTCTCCAGTTGGCATCCTGCATTAAAGTGTGTCTGTGAGTCCCTCTTCCTTTGGTGGCCTGTGGTACAGGTGGGGGCTTAGATAAAACCAACATATGCTATTCAGGCTTGTTTTGCTCTAGGCTGTTGGCCTAAGCTACCTGTATCATTTTATAATCTACAAAGCACCCTTGACAATAATTTTCAGGTGACACGTCAAAAACAACAAACCAATATCTTGGTCAGAGTACTTTGATGCAAACAACAGAGATTGTAATTTTTTTTAAAAATGGAATTTACTGAAAGTATAGAAAGAGTTGATAGGAAGGCTGGAGAGTCAGATGTGGAGAATGGCCTATAATCTAGGAAGGCCAGGCACAGGCACTACAACCAAGTTTGTGCCTCAGGAACAATCTGGCATGGCTCCCATCACTATGGTAGACACACCAACCCCCACCTCCAGCCCCCATCAGGAATCCACTGCTGTTGGACCCCTACTGTCTCTGTTCCTATGAATAATTCTGAAATTGTCTCTATGTTTTCGTGTCACTTGCTGAAGATTCAAAGTTCAGAGAGGAGTGGCCAGGTGGCTAAGCCTAGGCATATGTCATATCCTGGCTGCTAGGGGGCAACGAGAAGACCATCCCCCCACCCTCCCCCGTCCCCGTGCTTCAGTTTCCCTAGTTTCATCAATACTGCACAGAATGGGGGATTCCCACAAATAGGAAGGAGGTTTGGGTGCTGGTAGTAACTAAACAAAACAAAATGTCCACTATGCCCAATTCCTCCTCTTTTTTCAGACTGGTTTTCTTTTCTAGTTTTTCTGGTTTTGTCAGTTGTCAGTTGACATCACAATCCCATGGTGCGAGGCTTGAAACTTTAGAATCATCCACAACTCCATCATCTTCCCACATAGTGAATAATTCTCCAGATTTCTCAGGTTTGCCTTGCTTTCTGTCACCGCTACTGCTTTAGTAAGATTACATTGGCAACAGCCTAGGGGAGAGAAGAGACTGGAAATTGGGAGCTGGACTCTTACGATGTTAGAGTTGAAGCAGACCTTTGAACTTATCTATTGCAGTTGTCTTATCTGGGAGTATTCATTAGAATTCTTATGGTATTAAAAAAAGGTATGCATACTGCCATGAGCAGTGGTTTGTGCCCATAATCCCAGCTACTGGGGATGCTGAGGGTGGAGGATCACTTGAGTCCAGGAGTTCGAGGCTGCAGTGAACTATGATCATGCCACTGTATTCCAGCTGGGGCGACAGAGCAAGATCCCATCTCAATAACAACAACAACATACATCCTGGCATCCCCTACCTGGGTTTTTGGGTTCAGTAGGTCTGAGGTGGGACCTCGGCATACACATGCGCACACACACACACACACACACACACACACACACACACGTATTTCTGAGATGCATTCCAGGCTGAGAACTGCTGAATTCCAATACCCTTGTTTTAAAGATGGGGAGATTGAGGCCCAGAGAGAAGTTAGATGTTTGAAATCACAGTGAGTTAGAAGGGGCCAGGACCAATCCCGGATCTCCTGGCTTCTGGTCTAGTGCTACTCAGACCTCTTGCTTTCTCCCTCTGCAGAAGTAAGTTTTCTACCTTTATTTGTATCCAAGAAAGCAAACTAGGTTTCTGTGGCCCAGGATCTTTAACAGTAAACAGGCCATTGAGATTAAGAGGCTCAACCCATCCAGAGTGAACAGCCAGCACAAACAGCCTCATTTCTAATGGTGGTTGGCTCGATCTCTGGAGCAGAGGTCTACCTTGTCAGGATCTGGGCAAAATGTCCTCAAGAACCTCAAGTGGGGAGAGAAGTGGGGAAGACCCATGGATAAAAGTCAGCCCAGCCAAGGCCAGAATTCTGTGTCTGGCAGGATTCTGACTGTCTGGGCCTTTGTGCACACAGATCTTTGTTTCAATTATTCATTGACCCTTCTTAAATTCTTGACTGTCCTTTAGCCATCTGGTTCTCATCTTGGGAATCCACTTCCTTTTTTTTTTTCTACTCTTGGACTTTCACCAATCACTCTACCTTGGATTGGTTTACCACTAGCTCTGGGCAATCTCCTCAAAACCCAGGGCTTCTGATGCCTTCTATTATGTTGCTTTTTTGATTTTGCTCTCTTTACAAAACTTGTGGTTTCCTATAAAGATACCCAGTAGGAAATGCCATTTATTTAATGCCTTCCTGCTCTAAATCTACCTCAGGGCAAAGAAGCAAAGAATGGGAGAACTGCTGTAGCAGAATCATGTCTCCATCAGAGGGGAGCCCATTTTTCTCCTGTACCCTCTACATCCTGAAAGTGGTCTGGCACCAAAGTCTGAGCACCTCACCCTGGCCTGAGCAGGAATGACATGGTCAGAGCTGGCCTTTGGGAGGCAACTCTAAGAGCTGTGGAGGATGGATTAGAGGAAGAGAGGATGTGGGAAGGGAGACACTGAATCCACAGTAGCCACAATAATCTAGGGGAGAGATGATGAGACCTGAATTGGGCAGTGGGAATGGGACAAAGAGGAAGAAATAGGTGGGAAAATAGTCATTTTGGTGGGAGAATTGGCGGGACTAAGTCACTGATGGGACGTGGGAGATGAGGGAAAAATTAAAGATGACCAAGTTTGGAGCTTGAGGACCTGGAAGGATGGTACCTTTAATAGAATGAGGGAAATAAGAAGAAGACCTGATTTGAAAGGAGGGAGAAGACAGTGACATTAGTTTTGTACATGAGGAATGCAGACATCCAAGAGGATGTTTCCATCAGGCAGTTGAGGATACAGGGCTGGACTCAGGATGTCTGGGCCGCAGACATCAATTTGGAGTTTCAGAGGGAAGAAAGTGTGAGCTGGACCAGGCGAGCAGCAGAGTGAGAAGGGGGCTGAGGCCTGAGCCTAGAGAGGAACCCTTACATTACAGCCCCAGACACGTGGACAGCTCAAGGAAGGAGTCTGAGATGGGGCTAACGGGCTGGGAATAAAACAGGAAAGTGTGGTTTTGCAGCCAAGCGAGGAGAGTTTCAGGAAGGGATAGAGAGAGAGGATGAGAGGATGGGGAGATGAGGACTAAAAAGAGGCTGTTGTTACTTGTGGCAGTTAGTTACTATGGTAGGCCTGGTTTCAGGCACAACAGCTACACCGATCAGGCCCTCACATTAAATGAAGCACTAAGGCAGGTTTCCGGATAATTCACCTATTCCCCACTCACTTTAGCTTCACTTATCAAGGCATTGCAGGATAAATAAGTATAGTTACTTCGTAATTAAAGTTTAATATCGCTCAAAATTTCTAAATAAATCTCTTTAGTGCTCAGCGTCCTTTGCTTCAGAGAGAGGAAACTGCAGACACTGGAGGGAGAGGCTGATGACCGGATATATAAATAATAACTAATAAATATTAATGAATTGTCCCTTCCCGCCAACCAGGTCCGGGGAGAACCGCCTCTGGGCTCACTGGAGTCCCGCCCCCTCATGAATATGTAGAGAGCGCTGCCCGCCGCGCCCCGCCCCGCCCTCTACTCTTCTCCCTCGCAACGGACTCTCCCTTCAAACGGGAAACAAGATGGCGGCAGCAGGTCCGAGTACTCGGGCCTCTTCTGCGGCGGCGGCGGCAGCTCTGAGTCGGCGGGGCCGGCGGGGACGTTGCGACGAGATGGCGGCAGCTAAGACTGGGACTCAGGGCGCGGCCTCTGGGCCCGCGCTGTTGGTATTGCCACCGCCCTTGCTGCAGCCGCCGCCGGCGCCGCGGCCGGAGGTGTCGGGCTGCGCGGGGTGCCTGGAGCCCCCGGGGGAAGCGGCGGCCCTGCCGTGCGGCCACTCGCTGTGCCGAGGCTGTGCCAAACGCTCCTCCGACGCGGCTGGCCCGGGTTGCCCGCGCTGCCGCGCCCGAGGCCCGGGTTGGGCCCGCCGTCGGGCCCGCGACGACAGCCAGGCCGACGCGGAGGTGCTGGGCGAACGCATCCGCCGGAGCCAGCCCGAGCGCTGCCGCCCGCGCCGCGACGGGGGTGCGGCCGCTGCGGGGCCCAGGCCGGAGCAGGAGCCGCGCGCCGCGCCTGCGGAGCCAGGTGGAGCTTCCCCTCCTCCTCTTGGGGTCGGACCGAGGCCGAGCGCGCCACAGCCGGGCCTGGGTAGGGGGTGGAGAGTTCTCGTGGGGTTGGAACCCGGGCTCTGCCCAGGTGCACTATGTGTTTCTGAATTTTGAACTTCAGAATGGAGTACAGGCACGTTGGATTTGGAGGGGCAGTGAGGGGACCCCGCGCCTTACGTAAGTCTGAAGTTTGGAGGGAAACAATTCTTGGAACAAGTTAGGGGCAGGTTGGAATTGGTGTGTGGAGGGGGAGGGGCCCTGGAGGATCAGAGAAGTGCTTGGTTTAGTGTTGGATAAAGAGCTTGGAGTCGTATTGCTTGGAGATATGTGGCTTCTGGGCCCGAATGTGTCATTGAGGGGAGTGAAGGTTCTGGCGTTCCGGGGACAGGTTCAATTTGAGGATGTAAAGGGAGCTTTTCAGATCTGAGAGCAGAGTGGGTTGGGAGAATGATCTCACATGTGCAGGATTTCTTTTAATAAAATCTTGAAAAATGCATGGTGAGCACAGAGCCTGGCACATAATTAGGAAGCAATAAATGACAACGGTTTATATTTATAATAGTACTGATAATAAGCTCCAGTAGTGCCCAACAAAAAAGCTGGGTTGGGTTTAAAAGTTTTGGAAACAAAGATTGGTTGGCAGGGGCTGCTTCTATCTCCTTGACACCGTTTCCTACTATCATCATCGTAATTAAGTGTTGCAGGACTTTTGCCTTGAACTTCTTTGCCTTTCTTACCACTAGCAGCCTGCCACTCCTTGTTTCTGGTCTGAGATAGAAAATGCCCTATTTAAAACACAAAACATGACTGCGTTATAACTTAGGACTCTTTTTGGGACACACCCAGTGAACATAACATTGATAAAAAATACTTACATGGGCGGAGATTTTCAAGACACATAAATCAGGAAAAGCCAGATATTTGCATCTTTTATGTTGGGAATTCTGGCATGTGTTATTTTCAGTCTGGAAAAGGAGGCATTGCTTGTGTGTGAAAGTGCAGTCCCTAGAAAGTACAGGTTCCAGGATGCGATCTGTTTTGATTCAAGCAGTCAGAGAAACCTGTCATTATCCTAGGATACCTTGCTTTTGTTTCTGGAGTTGAGGGGACCTGCATCTTACTTTCTATGTTCCTTGTTACTTCTTTTAAGCTCACAGCATCCCTATGAGATAGGTATTTTTATTCCCGTTTTATAGATGAAACTGAGGTCCAGAGAGGTTAAGTAACTTGCCTAAGGATGAATACCCAGTTCCACCTGATTCCTGCTCAAATCAAAGATGAAGGTCTTCTCAAATATCATGTAATCTGTGGATGCCACGCGTTCATCTCATATGCTATTTAATTGGCTTCAAATTCTGAGAATATGGTCAAATTATAAGTATTGCTGTGGTCTCCCTAATATGCTGTTGATTTATGTGGTCAAGTACAATAGAGATTTTTATTTTGTTTTCCTAAGCTTGGAGTCCACTGTGAAATATCATGTCTGAAATTTGAACTATGAGAAGGATTATGGCTTGGTGATTTGTGCAAACCTTTTTCCCTTGAAGAAATTTTTGTTATAAAGTATATCCATTGATTAAGGAAAATTATCTAAGATGAGATTCTGAATTAGGATCTATTACAGAGTCACTTAGTACCCACTAGTTACTTCATATGTTTGTGTGAGGATCATAATGAAAAATATTTTTCCTAAATATTCTTGTTGAATCATTGAGTATATACAATTACATGCTTATTCAGCTAAAGGATTTTAGAAGTGTAGAAAAATATTACTGAACTAGGGCTTGGGAATTATCTTTTAGCTTCAATGGGTCATCTGAACCTCTTTCAGTTGTATATAGTATTTCTTAACTTAAAGTTTTAATAGGCAGTGCATTCACATGATTTAAATGAAACTATAAGGAAGTATGTAATGAAAAGTTTCCTACTCCCACTGAAGATTCTTGTTTATTCTTCCACAGTTTGTGCATCTGCATCAAAATTCAAGTGTATTTACTTTTGCCCTTTTCATACAAAAGGTTGTCTATTATATACACTGTTCTGTAACTGATTTTTTTGTTTAACATGACATGATGGAAGTCTTTCCATATCAGTACACAGAAAATTTCTTCATTCTTCTCATGTTATGTGGATTTTCATTGAATGGATATAACGTAATTTACTTAACCATCTATTGGTAGACATTTTGGTTGTTTGCTATCTTTTGCTATTATAAATAATTGTTTATAAAATCATTATATAAATGTGTATATGTATTTTTATGGAGAGGTCACATTGCATTCACCAGATTCTCAAAGGGTTGCAAAAAAAAAAGAGGCTAAGAATTGTTTTAATTCACATCCTTCATTCTATAGAAGAGAAAACTGAGGCACAGAACAGAGAAGAGAGTTAAAGGTTTACATGAATTAATAGTAGATAAACAAGGGCTGAAAGAAACAGCCTAATTCACAGTGAAATGCTCATGATGGCTTTTGAGAGAGAAAACTGAAAATACCAGTTTTCTAAATATTTACATTCTGCTTTTATAAGTGGGAGACAGCAACAGAATTAGCAATTTTAGGAATATTCAGAAGTGTATTGCTTAGTGGTATTCTTTTGGCATAGTTGACAAAGGAAATGTCAGGCCAGCTATATAATAATGGAAATGAAATTTTGTAGTAAATGCACTGGTGTTTAAGTGAAATTCCAATTCTTGTTTAAATTTTGTTAAAGTCCAGTCTCTCTTTTGGAATCACTTTGTCTATGAAAAAAATGTACGAGTTTGTGCTTGTTGAAAATTTTGGTTGCACTGGTGACATTTTTTGTTTTTTTGCCAGCTTCTTGGTACGCTTTAAGGTTCAGAACCTTAATGACTCTTGTGTAAATGTTTTATTTAATTCTTACATGCACTGTCAGTTTGCTTTTTGATATAGTATCAGTTCTTGTTGATTTGTGAAACCTGATGAAGGCTATGTCAGTGATCATTTCAGGATGAATTCAGACTTCAGCTTCATGTTCTTTGAGGATCTGCAGCTCATTGTAGATATTGACATATTTAATATTTGGACCATCTTCAGCAACATTCAGGAATTATGTAATGAGTGCCTACTCTGTACCAAGCACTATTCTAGGGCCTTGGGAAACACCAGTGAATGAAATATTAAAGATCCCTCTCTCATGGAGCTTATATTCTAAATTTAGAGACAGTCCTGATCTATTGATTTAAAAAACATATTTACCACACAGGTGTACATAGGTAGATTTAGAACTGTACATTAAAGCTACTCTTAAGCTTCAATTTTGCCCCTCAAATCCCGTGACAAATTAAGCCTCTTAAGAATTTTAAGAATTCATTTAGTCTTTTGATTTGAAATCAAGGATGATTATTCTAAATTATACAGCCTATGAACTTGAAACTAAGACCTTTTTACTTTTTAGGACAGTTCTTTTTCTTCTACCATGGGTAATCATTGAAGAGAAAAGCTAGACAAAGGCAGATGAATCTTTTAAATTGACAGTTTAAATTTTTTTTAATTTGTGGTGTTAAAAGTGCATTTCAAAAATTGAATAGATAAAAGACATTGAATGCTGCCTCATTTATCCTTTCTCTTTATCCCATCTCAACTTCCCTGATCAGTTAGGGTTAACATTTATATATTTAAAAAATTTTCTCTTTCTGTGAAAAACAAGTAGTTGGCAGACAATGTTTGCTGTGTGTGTAGCGTAAATTACATTTAGGACTAATAAATAATGAGACCATGTGATTATAGTGTAAAAGGACAAGAATTTCCCTTGTCTGTGGGATTTGTTTTAAAATGTATAAAATGACTCATCCCGTTATCCTTAATGACATGTATTCCAGAATTTGAGAGTGTCCTTATGTGTTATAGCAAGGCAGGAAACATTTGCCTTGTGCTTATGTGTTTTTTAAAACTCTTGGTGAGATTACCTCACCATGTATTCTACCAACTAAACATTAATTATCATTGAGGGAATAGCTCCAGTCTATAGAATTCAGGATTGAGCAGTAGGAATTTGGGAGGTGTTTTATTCATTCATATTTCTACTCCCTCCTCATCTAACTTCCAGTTAACCTTAGAAGAGTTGCCCACCTCGAATTCACTTATATCTGAGTTTGCTTGAATACATGATGTAGGATATGTTTGTCAGATTTTATTCCACTAATGAGCATTTTTTTGGGCACACTCTGTGCAAGATGATACAATAAAAAAAGGTGAGTAAGACATGGTCATCATTCTTTAAGACTCCACAGTGTGGTTGGGGAAACACACTCAAATAACAATACAAAGTGTTACTTGAGGTAAATGCTTAATGCTAACAGTTTAGGAATCTGGAGGAAACCCGAGGAAGGCATTTGAACTGTATATTGAAAAAAGTAGGAATTCACCAGGTGAGGGAGGAGGATATGTTCATTCCAGGAAGAAGAGCCTGCATGTACAAAGGCATGAAGGTGCTTGGGATATCCAAGAAGGTGCTTGGGATATTAACTGGCAAAAGTAAAACAGGAGGTGGGAGTGGAGTGAGGAAGGAGTAGAGAAGAGACTGCAGATGGCAGATCATGAAGGGCATTGTATGTCATGCTGAAAGAACTTTGGACTTTATCCTACAGACGGTGTGGAGCCCTTACAAATTTTTAAGTAGTGAAATGTATCGTCATAATGTAATTTATAAAGACAATACATATTGGTTGGAGGAGGGAAGATGGGAGTAGAAACTGGAGGAAGGGAGTCCAGTGAGGGGCAGGCAAGAGATGAAGGGGGCTGGACTAAAGTGTTGGCTGTGGGGATGTTACCTTCAGTTGTTCATTAATTTAGTAACCATTTGAGGATCTTCTCTGTAGTGGGCACTGGGGCTATGAATAGGGGTAAAGCGTGATTCTGTTTCAAACCGTAGTTGAGAAGATTGGTATGTAAACATACAATTGAAATGTATAATAAATGTAGTAATAGCTGTTAGGCAAGATATAATTATAGAAGG